CAGATATAGTCGACAATGATTTCACCTTTCATTCTTAATTTTGGACTTTTTGTTGTCTGTGTTTGTACCTCTCTCCTCGTGTCTCTCTGCTCTTGCCCCTCCCGTCCTGTTACTCTCCTAATTGCCTGCACACCTGTATCTCGTCTAGTGATTTCTGTCCTTTTATATTTCATTGTAGCTGTCCTTTTGGTTTGATCAAGTATACTTACATGTACTGGTCCACTGTTTAGTCTTTCATTAGTTTCCAGTGTTTGGTTAGTAGAGGTTTTCCCCTCTCAAGGGTGTTTTGTGCTGTATTTTTTAACTTTTTTTATTTAATATCAATAATAAAGAGCCTGCCCATTGTATCCTGCACTTCAGTTCTACAAATGTGAGTGAGACTCAGATCATTGCAATAGTGTCCAACGGTATGCAAAATTAAATAGAAATAGATTACATATGAATTAAATATGTCAACTTTTGGTCAGATATGAAATAATATATTATTTTCTACATATTCACATAAAATAATTTTAATATATACAGATATATGTACAAATATGACTGAGCGCTATAGCAAAAATAAATAATTTTGAAAGTTTATACTGCAGTTACATAATATTCCTTGTATTAGTAAAATGTCAAACATAACCATTGGTTTGAATAAATATTGTAAGAAAATACAGCTTCTATAATTTCTTGCCATCAGGAAGATTCCCTGTCATTGCCATTGGAAAGTGATGCTTTTCATCTCTTAGCTTTTAATCTTTTTCTCAGTCAGTTTGGTGACTTTACTATAGTTTGCTTTATGTCTGACCTCTAACAGCCAAACCACAGGGCAGTCAGTCCTGGGCACTGTGTGCTGCAATCGCTTGTTTGTTTGATGTCTGCGGGTCCTCGTTCAATGCGGATCAGGTCAGTGTGTGTGGTTCGTCCAGCTCGCTGTTTGTGATCTTTGGTGTGTTTTGAATTTATCTTCCCATGTAGCTGAGTTGTATTTTGTGGACAACACCATTATGACCCCACATTAATCATTGGCTATGTATGTATGTATGTATATTTAAACGTGTGTGTATGTGTGCCTGAATATACAAACTGCAAGAACTGTTCCGCATGAACTATAACAAACGGATATGGTTTGTCTAGGTAGATGCTCTGTATACATGTGTGTTGTGTGAAAGCTGGAAATGGGACAAAAAGAACTGTAACAAGGACTTATGCGTTATGTTCAGGTAGGTATTTATTTATTTTATTTTTATTCATTTACTGATTTTTTTATTTTTATTATTATTATTATTATTCTTTTTTTCTCTCTTTTCCTCTTCTTTTCTTTCTTTAAAAAAAAATAGAAAAAATAAAAGCCAAACCACAGATGAAACGTCAATACCTTTCTCCGGCACATGATTGTCTGGTGGAGAATAGTTTTCTATGTCTGTCTAAACCGGCGAAGCTGAATTCAAATATCGTGTACCATCACATAGCTGCACGTGATTTTGCCACACGAAGTGTGATTTCCAATCTCATTTTTTCTTTAAAACTGTGTTTCTGAATTTAAGAGAAAAAAAAAATAAATCTTATGATATAAATTTTAAATAATCTTTAAAAAACTGACAAAAAACACCCAGCACTACAAAAATATGTGCAAGTGCAAAATTACGTTTGCAAAGAGAATGGAATGTAAGTATCTAAATAATGTTCAGCTATACATAACTATACCAGTAATGTCTAGATATTATATGAATATTATTGAAATCAATAAGTGCAAAGGGAGTGCTAATGTGCTGGAGTAGTGCAGTATTCCGTTCTTTCTTAGTCATATCCACACATATTTGCATGTGGAGCACACAGAAATACCAAAAAAAAAAAATAAACACAATAATAACTGTTTTGTGCAAATGGCTTTCCAGAACACAGATCTGTAAATTTCTCATTTCAGTTAAGTTAAATATGGATGCTGCTTATTAAAAAAATCCAAGATCCTCTTCTAAAGAATGTGGCATGGCAGGAGAAGTTCTACAGCTGTCCCAGAGGTGTCTTTCTGTTGAGTCTGAGAACACACTCACTGTTACGCCAAGGATAACATAGCTTCACTTTGCGCTTTGATGTTTTTAATGGAGCCAAAACCTTGCTGGAGGGGGCATTGGCTCGGTGCTGACTCAAGGACGAATGATAACGAAGAGGAACATGTGGGCTGGAAAGCAGAGCAGCTCATTTAGAAAGAAAAAAACCCCATGGCTCAAGACTGCTTTGGTGTAATGTTGTGTCTTAATTAGGCCTTTGACAGAATCACCAAATTGTACTATGGCAGTCACTGAATTATCAATAACATTGAGCTATCCTATATTTTGGAAAGTGTGCATAGGACCTGACTTCGTGGCATGAATCCTATCAGGGCCAGGATTCATAAACTTCTGATTGAAAACTGGAAATTAAAAATTTGGGAAATTAAAACTTTCCTCTAGTCATAGTTTGTGATCAACCTGCAGGAAAGAAGGAGCCAGCCCTCAGAACCTCAACTACAGCATGTCTTATCAATGAATCAGAATTAAAAAATTGATTCAGGCAGACAGTGTTACTATCTGCCTGGAACTTGCAGACAAACAAAACATTTTTAAACCTTTTTCTTGGTGCATCCTTTCAGCTAAAATATTTTTCCTCACAAAGACCTTGATACAAATCGTTGAGACTTCTGCATTCAAAGAACATTATATTTTTAAGAACCAGCCGAGGTTTCTTTTTAATGGCACAGAAAAGGGATCGATACTGAAAATGCTTCTAAATGCCACGGAAGAGACTTGGCTCCTCACCGAGAAAATGTTTCGGTAATCCATATGAAACTATAGCAGACATTTCTGTTAAATGCCATAGCTGTGCTTCTGAGCCAAGAATAACTCACTGCATTGTCTTCAAAGCTGTGTGACGTGACTATATTCCTTTCAGACATCTCTACGAAATAAAATACAAACTTCAAAGTTAGAGAAACAAAAACAATATTGTGGAGCGTTTTAATATTTTCCGTGCTGTTTTTACATAACAAATGGACTGCGTCACTGACAAGATTATGGAATCACATTTAAAGAAAATGTGATTAACTTTATGGGATTATTATTATTGGAAGTCCATTCAATGTATACGACCCATAAAGCATGTGCTATTTAGATAACTTCATCTTTAATTAAATCTAACATTACAGAATCAGAAGCTTAATGCCATAATCCTTGTCCTCACATCCCCAATAGTGATTTCAACATTAGTATTTTTGCACTAAGATAACATGACCTTCCTTCTTGAACTATAGCGGCTCAACAGCAGGATAGCTGCATTGACTGATATTCTTTTAAAACAGTAAAGCTGATAGGACTAGATGTCTGAGTTTCTTAAGTCAGAATATCCTGAGACTTTGGTGTGAAGTGGGTAATAGGTGAGATATTGGGGTGATTTGGTAGGCCCATTCCTTGTTCTGTTGATTAAGCCCCAGGCAGCCATAATTGGCTCAGTGAGACTTGCAGCTCTACAAACTTTTCTCAATTGATCTGCCAATTACAGCTGATATCTAATACCAGAAAAGCTGGTAGAAGTTGAACTAAATGTTTCTGTCTTTTTGTTCTTAATAGTAGCTGTTGGTGTGCCATTGCTTTCTCGGGGGTTAGACACGTCACTTAACAAATGTTGGGTGCCCTCCTTCTTCAAAGTTTTGTTGACTTGGCCCATCCATGATTATATTTCCAGAAGGCTCAATGGTGTACCGCTTTAATTCTTCCATTTCTTCCTTTCCTGGGACACAGGGTTCAGCAGGTGAACTTCAGGGATACACACTAGACAGGTCACCGGTCGATCACAGGGAAACCCTCCCATAGTCACACACATTTTTATAGTATTCAATTAACCTAACCCATGTTTTTGAATTGGGAAGGAAACTAGAGTACCTGAAGGAAATGGACGCAAGAACTCCCAAGAAGAACTTCAGCAGGCCTTGAATTGTAACTTTCTCTCTGAAAGACCCAGTAGTAACCATACGCCACCCATGCGTCTGTTGGTGTACAGCAATCCCTTGTTATATCATGATTAACCCACAGCAGATTTGGAAAATATATGTACCTATGGGCAAATGTGACAACAGCATCTAGTAGTAGTGGAAGAATTGCCTAGGAAAACGATCATCAGAAGAGCTGTAAAGCCATTAGCGGTGCAGTATAGGCAATTCATCTCTCTGCTCTTGATAGTCTCTTGTTAGTTCAAATGGGAGTTTCGTACATCTTTTGTTTAGGTTTTAATGGAAGTTCTGGTCCATCTTGGCATGTCTAAAGTCAGCATTGTAGACAGCTTCAAACATCTATGAACCTATCTAGATGCAAACTCCTGACTGAGCCCTCAAATCTTTAAAATCGCCTCCCCAGACGTCTAGATCAAAAGTGTCAGGATCCGTTCGTGGAGGGCCGGAGCCCTACAAAGTTTACTTCCAATCCTGCTCAGAGCAACCCAGGCCTGAAGTTTTCAAACAGCCTGAATGACCTAACAAGCTGCATCAGGTGTGTTTAGTTGAGGTTGGAGCTACTGTACATGACTATGGCCCTCCAAGAACTGAGTTTGACACCTCTGATCTAGATCTATGGAATAGTCCAGATGTGGAGAGTTCTAAACTTAAAAAGATTTTTATTCAGACAAGGATAATATTAAATGGTTATTGGTTTTTAATGCTCGTTTTCAACATGTGCTTTGTCATTTTATGATTTTGTCCAGCATCCATTTTAGACTATAATTTGATAATTTGAAAAAGTGAAAGTGACATTAGGACCAAGTATGGAGTGACACATACAAGGATTTTGTGCTCTGCATGTAACCCATCCAATTCCACACACACAGCAGTGAACGAACACACCGTGAACACACAACGGGAGCAGTGGGCAGCCATAGCTGCGGCACCCGGGGAGCTGTGGGGAACTGGTGACTTGCTCAAGGCCTCCACAGTAATGGTTGACAAGGAGGGAGAGAGTTTCAACACTCATCCCACCTTTATCTCCCAGGGAAGTTGGGGATCGAACCGAAGACCTTTTGATCTCCAGTCAATCACCTGACCCACTAGGTCACGACTGCAACAGAGTCCAACTTCAGAGCCAAAACATTCGGAATCTAAAGAAAATATGGTCTATGACAAAAATCGAACTAATCAATGGTGAATTACTGGGTATCGTAACATTTACAGAATGAACTTAGGAACAGGCTGCATGCAGCCATGCTCTTGAATGGGAACTAGAGCACACACAGCCATCATCAAGAAAAATGATCGAAGGGAGGGAGGAACCTCAGGGAAAAACTCTGAATAACAGCTTGTTTGCGGCTGATGATTAATCAAATTATCGGAACCAAGAAGGATGTTCTTGTGCAGGATATTAGCAAATATTTACATTGGAAAGGATTGAAAAGATCCCTACAATCCTGGGATTGAACCTTGTCTAATGACCTTGTCACTATGCAAAAAAAAAAAAAACAAGTGATGAAGCATAAGTACAAAATAGAGTAGAATAAGCAATGTTACAAACTTAGAATGGAATCTTCATTTAAAAATGTCTTGACTGTTCCATAAATCAAAACATTGTCTCAGAGGCAGAGAAGGCTTAGGGCTACAATGGAGACTATACAGCAGCTAAATTTAGACAGATTCCCCCACCACAACATCAAGAACGTATTACTGTGATGTCAAGATGTCTTCAGACTGTTCTGAAAAGATGGGATTCTACAACAAAATTGCTAGAGATCCTTCCAGATTCCACTGTTACTATGAAAGTCTATTGATACATATGAGTGTAAGCTAGCTGCTTCACTGCCTTGCTGCCTCATTAGGCAATAACTTCATAGACAGCATCTGCGAATGATGCCATCTACAGAGAATGACTTCAGACAGGCCTCCTAGCAGCAAAATGGTTTAATTACGGACAACAGTAGCAATTTCTTTGATGAGAAAGTGATTTTTTAATTACCACATCTTCTGGTTCTGATAATAGTGAAAAATCTATGTTAACAGCCAGGTACATTTTCTTAATGTTTATATTTTACACGTATTGCTTGCACTTTCAAATATTTTGAAAACCTATAATTAAATCACAAAAAATCTTGAATATAATTAGTTTTACTTTATATTCAATAATAGTTTGAGAGAATCTAAGGCAGCAAGGGACAGGCCAATGCAAAAGAGTGAAGCTTGTGAGGATTGAGACATGCTTTGATGCTTTCCTTTCTCAAAGTGTGTCCTTCGGGGGCAGAATTTCAATTTTTATTCATACTTTAAGCTAGTGTCGCAACTCTCCAGTCTGCAAGCCTCTGGTGTGACCTTAAAAGTGGTAACAAGGTTATGATTTTGCTTCTAGCCACATTCTATATGAAAAAACAGTTTCTGCTCTGTACACCTTGTTGAATAAACCTGGGGGGGGGGTGTGGATTTAATCTGCTTGCCTGTTTAAATTTCACCATTTAATTATTATAAATTTTACATATTATAAATAATTATAACTGTAAAAATAAGTAAAATAATTATAAATTTGGCAGCCCGGTGATCTTCCTGGAAGGAGCTTGCGGGAAGATTTTGGAGAGAGCAATATGGAGAGAGAGCAGGGAGTTCACTGTGAATAGGATTACAAATGTAGCATTTATATTAATAATATTTTGCGAATTAATTGCTTTGCTAATAAATAGTTTTTAACCAAGTATTTAGCCTTGTGTCTCTCCACCTTGCAGCGGGGTGCAATATGATGGGTCTATTTTTTTCTTGTGGAAGAATAGGTGAGGTGAGCAGCGCGGGCGCTGGCCGTCATAATGCACCTCTGAATTCGGTTTCTCGATTAAATGATTCATTCTGCAGGAGGCAAAACCAGAAACAATAACAATTTTATTGGTGCTGCTAACAGATTTTGTGTGGAAAACAAAACAGTAAATTCAGAAGAATTGTTTATTTATGCTATGTTTATTCAAAACTGCAGTGTAGTGTAAAAAAAACTTTACAAGAGAGTTATTCCATCTAACCCACTGTTTAGGTTTGTGGTTAACCTGGGAGCTCAATATGAAGAGTTCCAATATGAAGTGAAAGGTTTAAAGCACATTATACATTGAGAATTTATTTATTTTTTTTAAATTTGACTGTTTTTGAAAACATTTTTTGTTCATCAAAATGCTTTACTTTCAGATATGGTTCTTTGCTGAAAAAACTATTAATAGGAATGATAAGATATGTTTAATAAATTTTTATATATATATATATATATATATATATATATATATATATATATATATATATATATATATATATATATATATATATATATATATATATATATATATATATATATATATATATTTTTTTTTTTTTTTTTTTTTTTTTTTTTTTATTTAATTAATCAATTAAAGCAATCAATGATTATTCTACGTGATTTGTCTGGTCAAACTCAAATTATGCACATTGCAGCCCGCGAGCTCAAATGAGTTTGACAACCCTAAACTTGTTAACTAATCTTCTCCAAAACCTCAATGAATGTACTTGATTGTTCAGCGTGTAGTAAGCATGCCACACCTGACCAGCTGGGCATTAAAGCCCAGGTGGTTTGCGTATACTCTTCCTGTCAAGCTGAGGAGCCTGTCCCAGGTTACCTATGGCACTACTCATGACGTCCAGGTCGCAGTCCCCCACAAACACAATAAACACTAACATGAACCAAATCACTGCACGATTCTTCGAAGAAGTGTATAGCCATTGAAGTTAAAAAATAACACTGGTTTTTCACAAAGGTTGTTACCATACCCAAGAATTTATGATCCATTTGGGGAAGAAATTAAAAATAGCACAAGCTTGGAAGGATCTTAGTGAATTGGCCAGGAACCATTTGTTGTGTATATGCTGCCTAAAGAAGAGGGTGAAGGCGGAAGAAGACAAAAGAGCAACCAACAAAGCAGAACGCCAGGCTGTAACCCAGCTTAATCCAGTCATGTGTAACTTAAAAAAAATTTCAGGAAATAATTTATGATTTGACTATTTGATTTTAACATTCCATTTTCAATGACAATCTGTACAGCCATTCTTCAGCAGAATACCATTCTTCAGTGGAATTTTGCTGCTATATCCATTCTACAGAATAAAATCAAAACAGCAAATAACCTAGAAACCCCAGCACCAACTAAACGTATAGAATGTGTGACTGCAGAGCTTCGCAGACAGAGAACACGAGCATAAATGCTTGTAGCTGAGTAGGTCATGCGACAACCTTGACACAGAAGTATAAATCAGGTTTTATTCTGTTCTGAAAGCTGTTGCTCAGCATCACCATGGGATTGTTTTAGCGAAGAGCAGAAGCCATTTTACTCACCATATCGATGGGGCTTCTGTGCCACTGATCTCCAGAAAATCATATCTATCTTCTAGTTGGAAGTCTGTGAAAACTAGGGCAATAGTGTCCCCTGGTTCAGCCAAAATACTCCATGTGCAGTCAGCATTGTTCTCATATTCCATAGGAAAATGGGGACTTGAAATTGTTCCTGTCGTTCCTCGTAATGTACCTCCACAAGATCCCTCAGCTGTAGAAAAAAAAGAATAAAATAGAAAAATATGCTGCTTATCTCTGAAAGGAAAACCAGTAGCAATTGTCGATCACCATTTTTTTTTTCTGTGTGAAGATTAAGAAAAATTGCAATGTACCTCTACAAAATGGTACTGGGAAATCCCACGAAGCACCACTTCCCGGGCTTACTATGCATGTAAGCACCGCATGCCCCTCTAAAAAGTATCCCATTACACAACTGTAGCGGATCTTGTCACCAACGTTGTATCTTGTCCCATGAATAACCCCTCTAGGTATCAACCCTGGATTTCCACATGTGTGACTTTGTAGAACTAGAAAAAATACAGAAAGAAGCAAACTAAACAAACATTTCTCTATGTCTTGCAGTCTTTCATTCTGTTTTCTCTGTTATTTTTATCGTCAGTCTCTTCTGATGTCTTGCACAGTGTGAGACTACCATGAATCATGTGTATCTGAAGTCAGCCTAAACTATTTTTAGGGCTGCAGCTATCGATTATCAACATTGATCAAGTAAATATTTTGTAATTGACAACTTTCTACAAGATGATTAACTGCCATTTATGATAGCTGATGGAAATAAAAGAGCTTTTTTTACTAAATAAAAAAAAATGTACTTTTTCAAAACCATAGAAAAATAAAAAATCAAGTGTCATAAAAAAGGTTAGAATGGCACAAAGATGCATCAGCATGAGGTTCAACCTAATACGCATCATATCTTGGAAGAGAAAAGAGGAAGAAATAAAGGCTTTCTAATATATTAGAGCAAAATGTTAGTGTTTGATTCAAAGTTTTGTGCAACAACGCACCTCAATCAAAAACCATGGGACAGAACCTCACGCATATGATCGTATGAGTGGTGCCAACAAAAAAGTTGATCTCTTTTGATGACATGAATAGGATATAAAACAGCCCCTCTGTGGTGCTATTCCCGCATTTTCATAGAAAATCAGCGCTCCACAAATCCACGCTTTTCTCCGCTTTTTTATCAGACAGCTCCCTGAGATCAACCACCAACAGTATAAACCGCTCGCCATCCATGATTTGTTTCTATGTGTTCTTTAATTTCTTCTCGGTCATCGTCTTTTTCTTTCCAGTTTCCCCATGAGAGCATGAAGTGCCTTTGCGCAAATGCCATCTTCAGGCAGGGAGTGTCATTGCATCAATATTTATTCGACCCAGATAAAGACCACCCTGCTGAGAAGCCTTTCGAGCCATTTGACTAAGGCCTTTGGTTTTTTACTTTTTTACTTTTTTGCCATTAGTATCCCATTATTGCAGCATGACACTAGGTAGAATCAACACTCATTTGCTTCTGTAACGATGAAACAGATAACGCTTGCATGCAGCAAGGAGAACAACAAATGCTACATTACCAAAAATGCTTTGTGTTTTGACCAAAATGGCTTGTAACACTGTGCAATGCAGTATTAATGACTATTAATACAGAAATATACAGCCATATAATCTTCAGCCACAGCTACCCACTGTCAATTTACTCCAACTCTTTGCTGATTGTAACTACATTGGTAG